TCAATACGTATATAAATAAACAAGTTGTGAAACATGGCACCTAGTAAATCGACACCCTGTCGGTTTCAAATTTCGATTTCTTACCTTAAAATGCGAAACAAAATTTTTTAGAGGAGACCAGGTGTTACGTTAATAACTATTGTTCATAATCGCTAACTTGGTTTTATTCAAAACTGCACAAATCCTGCGTTTTCTGATGATATCCGACGATTTCATGAACGAAAATGGTCAGCAGCCAGAATCAAGTGGGATTCGCCCAGAGTTCTGGGTAAATCAAGGAAATACTCGCTGTTACGGCACGCCTGATTGGTTGAAAATGAGTATGCGCACTAGGTGCCATGTTTCATAACTTGTTTATTTATATACGTATAATGGATGATTTTTTTTTAAATTAGTATTTATTGATTTTCAGCCCCCAAGTGACTGTGGCTCCGGTACCAATGCAAGTAAAGAAACCATCGGTTGAAATCGTGTGACATACACATGAGTCAGTTTTGGAGCCGTCACATGTTTCGGACATTCTTCGAGCAAATTGAACTCCTGAATGATGACCTGATGAAAGGAGCTAAAACTGTTCTTAAGCGCAGTACAGTGTATTCCGTCGTCAATATGGGGGTCCCATGCGACTGTCAGGAAATTTGAAATCATAAATTAGAAGTTAAAGGGTGGTGGTCTTCACGCAGCGCGTGTTCGAATTTCATGTAAACAACAATGTATTTTACACGCGTTGTATATGTCGCTATGAGTCCCATATCGAACAGGCGCGGCGCGAGGACCACCGCCCTTTAAGTGCCCCACGACCCATGACGAGATGTCACTTGGTACTACTTAGGATGACGCGCCATTTAAAACAACTAGACTTCCACTAAACATGAACTTCGAGGCGTAAAGGGGGGGGGGCAGTCGTCGTGCCGCGTCCTGTTCGATATGGGTCTCATAGCGAACATATACAACGCGTGTAAAATACATTGTTTATTTACATGAAATTCGAACACGCGCTGCGCGACGACCACCACCCTTTAAACTTAACATTGTGTTGTACTGCCTTTAACGATCAATGTGGGTAGAAGTATAGAAGTATAGTCCAATCAGGTCAGGCGTGTTATGTCACGTGATTTATCTTATATAAACACATAGTATGTTTGTACATAACTTATCGTACATTTATCAATCTCGTTCCCCCAAATCAGCGTATATGCACGACAGAGAAGCTGATACAGACTCTGGGCACGCAATTCCACCGTGGCGTGGCGTTTTCCCACTGAAGACAATACAAACGTCTACCCGATAACTATGGATATAACCATGTTATAAATAAATGTAGATTGGATACAAGTTTTCAAAAAAGACACTGATAACTTCATGACATTTTGTACTTACTCCGCTATGAGAATATCACCTTTCTGTTATTCGACACATCAGAATATGAAACACATAAAAAAGAGATAAAATAAAGTTAGTTACTACATGTTTAATTAGATTCACGACTAACCATATAAACGGTGTGTGTTCAACAGGGTAGTCATTAGGAAGGTGTCTCAGGCTAAAAATGCGGTTGCTGGCCAGCGTGCGCGACAGTTAAAAGCGGATGCTCATGTTTTTTTTGGATTTCTACCAAAATCTTGTATAAAATTAAAGAACTTAAAAGATAAAAAGACACTCGGACTCATAGCACCAATTTTGAGCATTTCAGACCGTATTTAGCTCATATGGATGTGCTGGTAAAAGCATTTGTGCAAAGTGGGCGAGAGAGGGCGTAGTAACAAAACACACGGAATGTCCATGCCAAGTGCATTGACAGTCTAGATTTGATTGTTATAATTATTAATAATTTGCACATTTGGCGGTTGCATTGAATTATTTAATTCAGGGAATTAGACCATAGACCTTGCAACTTGAATGTATTGAACGGATGGTCGTGTCTGCTTCTTTCACCTGATCGTTGCACATCATTACAAATGTCTCCCCCCACGCTGACGCCCCGAAAATATTGCCTGGGATTGTTCTTACATTGAGAAAAGCCTGTGACGAAAGATGCTGTAGATCTCTATTGGTTCTCACGACCACGGAGTGACTGCTGCTGAACACCCTCCGACAGCCAGTCAGTTGCACTTCCAATTCCCGCACCTTTGCAGATTGTTGCTTATCCACTTGGTACATCATGCTGCGTTTTTTTTTCTCGATGATTTTCACTAAATTATCACACTCACTGGCAATGTCATGTTTAATGAGGGCACCCTTGTGCTGGAATAAAAACGAAAAAAAAAAATAATAATAGAGCAGTGTCCCCCATAAATACAAGTCCGCGAGCTACATGCATAACCGCAAGAAGGCGGTAAACAACGATACGTCGTAAACGGGGTCGTAAAATAGTGGCGCCGCACAGTATCTGATGCCATCAAAACTTACCTTTATCTTTTCCACCAGGACACCTAGCTTTTTCATAAAATCGGTTAACCGTTGGTTCTCGTCTTCTAAATATTTCAAGTTTTTTATCACTTCTGCCTGAAATAAAACAAATTAAAAAATGTATCTTTCAATGACTGGAGATCCGCTGATTTGTATGGGTCTCGCGGTAAAATAAAGCGCCGTCGCGTCACGGAGAAATCATGGTTGCTATTGCGACGTTCAGCAAACAAATCGATTGTTTCTACGACAACCCCACACGTATTTCACTTATTGAATGCGCCGAGGTAAAATTAAATAGAATAAAAATAAAATAATAAATAAAAATCAAGACTGTATCATACATCATATTACATGTATAACATATATCATCGCCCCCAAGTGTTCATAAATGTTATTCATGTCGTGTCAGAAAGATTACCCGCCCTCTAGTGTCGGATGAAATTTGAACTTTGCTTCACATCCGGGATCAGTGACATTTACAATGACAAATAGCATGTATCAAACCACGGATCCGAAGAGCTAAACAAACTACCCTGAATTCGGTAGCTGTTCGGTTTACATACACGTTTGGTTAGATTTAATATCGAAACGCTCACTAATAAGAGGGTCGGCAAAGGGTATTTTCGTAAGCTGTAATCAATTGTTTTTATTTTCGTAATAATGTAATTTAAATAAATGAAACAAAAGTAAATTCGTAGACATGGGCAAGGTGTAAAATGTAATCAGCTATTTTATTCATCCGTGATTTGTACAAATATATTATTTTTCGTAAGCGTATAAAGCATTTTCCAAATTAAATGTCGTAATTCGTACGCAATTTCCAATTTTGATTCTTAAACACAAGTTTATTATAAAATGTAATTAGGAATTCGCTTTATCTGTAACGTAAATATTTTTTTACTGTAAATGGAACTTTCATTTTATTTCCTGTAAAAACGTAAAATGCCGTTTTTAGTTCCTGTAACCTGTACCAGCTATCCCCCTGCCTTCCATCTAGTAAGTTAACGCCATGAATTTAAAACGCTATGAATTTGAAACTAAGTGGCGTGTGAGTGACCCTGAAGTGACCCCATCTCGGGCGGCTGACATCTTAATAATGCAACGTAACAATGAAATAGACACTTGAACTGAGTAACCTATGCAAATCTACACACAGAATGGGAAAAATACAAGGAAAAGACAATACAAAAATTTAAAATATTCAAAAATATACCACATATATTTGAAAACGTGTATTTTACCGCAACATCGTTCTCAAAAACAAATTTTCCTCAAAACTAAAGAAGCAAAAACAGTAATCTGCACTGTTTTTCCACTATGATCCCCGAGCATAAAATTGTCACCCCTTAACGCATATTCCATTGATACTCCAGTGCCGTTGTTGTCTTAAAGAATGTTTCATTATTCGCCGGTTCCAAACAGCCATATGCATTGTTTATATGTTACAGGCTATTAAGTTGCAAGTCGACTAAAACAAACAGTTTGCAAGAATGACCAGCAACGCACCGTTTCAAATAAAAACATGTTAAAAGCACCGGCTCATGGCAAATCCATTTTTTTTCTCCGACGCATGTACATTCAAATCACCTTTTTGCCCGGGTGTATGTTGTGAGCGTACGTGGTGTTGTCCTGGCGAGCGTGTTGCTACAACAGGTAGGAATCGATACGAGGCATGCTGTACTTGATTCCTTATCACAACTTCGGAAACAGCGAATGAATTGAGGTCTGTGATTGCCTTCTCGAATTATAAAAAAAGTGTTGTCAACATTTGTTAAGATTAATGTTTTGAGTATAGAAAATGTGATTACGCTTTTAGTGCTCATTTATTATAGTGGACGCGGGGACAGCATTTCTCTAGCGCGTTCTTTAAGCTTGCCCCGAGTGCATGAAATTAAAGGACGCCTTTAATCATTGATCAACCGATTTTTTCGAGCGTGAGTGAGCACGGTGCCGATAACAAAACGAAACTAGGCGTGATTCATCATGTTGTAACAAATGTCGGCAAGATAATTTTAATAATGCGTTCGGTCCGGCACCAGTACGGTCGCGGGACAGATCGCCGCCACTGTCGTGATATTGGACGTATATATACATATACTGGCGCTCAGTGAATATATATTTTCGCTGTCTGGTTAGCTTTTTGTTAAATCAATATGTGGAGGCCGTTCTGGTGTACTCGACTGTGCTTAGCAACACTGACAACAACAACGAGGTCGATGTAAGTTTCTCGTAGCGTAGCAGAGCATTGCTAGGATTGTAATCAGATAAGATAATAACGTTTTTTATTCAATAACGACTAAATGCATGGAGACAATTGTCATGTACAGCAATCAATCAATACGGGGTCATGACCCTCTCCGGAGTTTGGACATTTTGTTTTATTCGCTACATCAAAGGGGCGAGGGGGTCACAGAACAAAGCAGTATGATTTGAACGCAAGTATTATGCCCTGTCGACAGTATCTAGCACATCCGTTTTTGTACACAACCATGATTTGTATAAAGCCTACGGAGAGCCCACTGACAGATTACGCGGACTAATCCCAATATTGGAGGTATGAGTTACTATAGCAACAGAAGTATGTTTGCACACACAGAAGGAATCAATAATAGACTGTTTTTACGAGCGACTGACACGAGCTTTTGTATGTAAAGTGATTTCATTAATAGCAGCGAGTGGTTTCTGTAACGGGTTATACGGTAGTTAACTGGCTGTGATCGAGCCCCACAGGTGTCTTATGAGCATTTCGACGGTATTATGAATATATACATACATATCTATATACATATGTAATGCAACATGCAGCTACAAAGAAAATGTGTCGGCAATTTAAGCCCGGCATTATTAATCCCGTAAAGGTGTACTTGCCTTCTTTTCACGTAGTGGTTGTGTACTAATAGAATGGAAGGCGCTGTGTGCACCCCCTCTGCTCTGTACCTCCCGCTTCTGCTGCCGACTGTGAGCGCTTCTGGAACCCCTCATGTTTGTATACGATGCTACAGCTCCCCTTCACTCAGCTATGTGAATCCAGACTGATAAGTGCGCTTAGTTAGTACCCGGAGACAGCGGCAATAAGTCAGCTTTCAACACAGGTAGATACGATGAGTGTGCATATAAGACAGTGACGTCACTGTTTACATATGGCCATTCAACCAATGACAAGCGGCAATCAGCAGCACGCACTCAAACTAATCAGGCGTCAGACGTCAGAATTACCAAACGTGTATCAAATGTCGCGGTCCACAGTCGCCACGAATTAGACACGAATTATTAGTACAAGCATATCAGCGATACCCTTCAATGACTTTCGTCTATTTAATCGCGGCATAGAAACTCATAAAGGTATATATAAATGACATGACCGTCGCGGGTTTTATATACCATTAACACCATACCACGTACGACCAGTAATCTTAGCAATATTTGTATTAAATTACTCCCTTCCCTGTAGCAAAATATAAAACCATCTAAAGATTAATTATTGATTAAAAAGTGCATTATTACACATGCATTCCAGCACAGTCCTCGATAGAGGGACTGTGATTACAGTGATTAAATTGATCCCAATGACAAAGGTTGCGGAAGGCTTGTACGTCCGGACCTAACCAGTATGCGAGTAATTCAATTAGATGCATCAGAGGGTATAATTATATTGACAACACTAATTAAAAAAAACCAAAACAATTACTTGAACATTTTTATGAATCGCGTAGGAGAAAAATCGAATATTTATCATATCATGATGACGTAAAAACTCTCGTTCTTATGTATAATAGTTGGTATATTGAACCTCTTCACAATTCTCAAAACAATTTTACACCATCGTAGAACTGAACCCGGTGTTTTCCAAGGTCTGCCAAGCTCCGTCCATGTAAACACAACGCCGAGACGACGGTAAGTGGATCATTCATATTCTTGCAAGCTCGGGCGACATTCCTGTATTAGTCGCCGTTTTAGGGATCGGGAACACCATCGAGAATTAAACCAAATAAAATAAAATTTGTTCTTCGGAAACATGTTATTGTAGTTTCGCATAACCGCCCAATCACCGCCACGCAATGATGACCAGTGAACGCCGATGTACCACGTGATACAATAATTTAGTCACGTGACATGTAAGTAGCTGCAAATGAATTTTACTTTCAATGCTTATGTTATGGTGATCCTCCAGTTAGAATCGTACTATTTTGAAAAGTGTATTTATTAAAATTAACCGATTATAAAAATTGAAACATTACATACATATATATTTTCTAGAAGCGACGTATTGATAATATTTGACGAGGTTGACTGAATATGCTCTATTATCTTACCCTGACGAGATCGAGAGAGTTGCGCCATCCGCGGTGATTCAAACCGTTCGGCCGGTGAGGGCCTACTCACACCTACACGTCAGGCTATATACTAGTACATCTTAGAAGGCTTTATACCTCAGAAGAGCCCATGTAAGACGAGCTTGATTTGACTTAAATATCACGGGGGTAAATTCTCTCCTCGGGGTTCTCCACACTTGCCAGGGGGGAAACTCGTCTCGTCTCTATATCGCGTCCCCTGGAGGTATGGGATCGGGAAAGTCACTTTACGCCTTACAGTCAAATAAGACACACACACAACGAAATACGTTTCAGCTCTCGTCTTAGTCGGTCAATCGAGCACTCTATCAGACACAGCGCCCTGGGGAAAAATCCCCAAGACTATCGCAAGGCTGACCCAAGACTCTTTTAGACTGCGTCAACACTCGCCCCAAGGCTCTCCAGTCCGTCTATCGTGCTGTACTCCCCAAGACCAACTAAAACAACTGTATTCATTTTCAAAACTCTAACCAATTACAAAACAGTAAAAAGACTAAGGCGTAACTTTCAATCATAAAGCCAATCACACTAAGTACTGAATACGTCATATCTTTTGATTAATCGTTCACTACATCATAGACCCTACAGTAGAGGGTCTATGACTACATTAATAACTACGAATACCAACTGTCAGAATCGATAGTCAGAATAGCGACGGTTATCTCGTAATTAGTTCCAAATCACTGAGCCAAGTTCCGTCCAAAACTTCAAATAGGCCTAAACGATGACAGACATAACAACAATTTGCTAATAATCAGCTAATTAAGTCGGTCAACAGATATGCGAAAACTAATTCATGACATAAAACCCGCCACTGCGGATAGCTTGTAAATGTACATTTTGAGAGAGTCCCGTGCTTTAAAATGCATCCAGTGAGAATCCTGCCGACAGCCATTCTCGAATTTCACTATACCCCCTTTGCAAATTGAATACGCTATGAAAGCACTAGAGCTTGTATTACGCCATGCGTGAATGCATAACACATGTGTTAAACTACTATTTTAGTACCGTGTCAATAACGAGCAGCCAAGAAGGACGTGCGGATATAAGCCCATTGAGTAGTAATGCTACGTGTAATGGTAACCATTGAACCTATATTTCAATACAATATGTAATTTGAGTACTTTGTGGAATTTATAAAAGAAAATAACTAACTTGAATTTTGGCACATACATGACATAGTGGCGTAGCTGCGCAACCTTGGAAGCAATTAGTTTTATTTTTTACTTTAAATTTATTATTGTAATTTATGTTAGATACACCCTCAATCGGTTCCCAATGAATACAGATGATTCCCGTTGCGCGAACTTACCTTTGGTGCTTTTTGATAATCATGTATTTTTTAATTGTTATTCATATTTTAAAGAATGGTAGAATTGGTGTCATCAGCAAAAACTCTGAAATCAAATTTTGTGATCAATGCTTCTGAATCATTTAGGTAATTTAGGAATAGAACTAGCCCGCGAATGATTCTTGGATACCATATTTCATTTGGCGGTAAGATGGTATACATTTTAACAGATTTGGAAGGTTTTTTTTCCCCCGTGTAGATAAATATTGTGGTTGGTTTTAAAGGTTATTTTCAGTATCAAAAATAGTAAGTGTATTTATAGTACTATTGTTCTTCTCCCAGTTTTGGGACTATTTTTGTCAAAAGCATAGGTTATGTGAAATCCAAATTGTGGGTGGGGGGCGATATTCTGTTCTAGAAAATTCGTAAGTTGCCCAATTGCTGCGGTTCTGAAAATTTAAATATTGACAGTGAAAATCATTCGATAGTTGTCATCGTCAGCTGTAGAACCTACTGTAAAGGGGGTAATTATTCACTGGGTTTTAATTTAGCTTATTTCGCTGACTGGAAAAATGCGCTAAATTAAAACACAGTGAATATGTAAAATTTAGCATAGAACACATTATCCAAATGACGAAACCGTGAATTTAAAACACACTGAATATGCCTGAAATAATAAATCAGTGAAATTTAAACCCAGTGAAAATTAGTCATTTTACAGTATTTATAAAAATACACACAATCGCCGTCAATGTAGTTGTTAGTTGAAGTAATTATACTCTCCTTAAATTGTTTGGCCAATTTTAACTTGTAATAGCGTCTCATTACAAATGAATATGTTGATTATCGATCATTTGTACAATTGCTCGTAATTCCACTAATTGTTATAAACTTAGAATAAAAACATTAATACCCAAACATGTTGAAAATAATTCCAGCTCAGATTGTTAAAAAAAGGGTACATTTGATAAAATATTAGAAAGTAATTTCGAACACAGCTCAGATTTAGCACGACTACCACGCAGATGTTTTATTATATTGGTTTTCAGTATGCCATAAACCGGAAATGCCGAATTCAGAGTAGCATGTTACCCGATAATAAACTGGCATGCGTGCTAGTATTTTTTTATATTATTTAACACAAAACAAGTTACCAAACACAACAGCTTTGTGGAATTAGACAATGCGCATTTCTGGAGAAATGGTACACTGGTGCATTTTTAATTGGAAACTGAATTTTCTATTCATTTCACCGACAAATAGCGACCAATGAACGGCGATAAGTTTCATAACTTCAGCAGTAATCACTAAATATTTTAATTCGCGAGAATGAATATTTAAAAAGAATGCAACTTCATTTAGGAAATTCCAAATTTAATTGCTTATAAAAAAGAACAACAAAGTACATTTTTTTACATATAAACAGATAATGCCGCAGGCATAAATACACAGGCGAGTTGAAGTAGTTTGACATCGAGTCAAATGTGATAAAAGTCCTGTCCTGCAGGTGGATACATGTTCATGAAATTGGTAGAAATTTAAAATTCTTGACTCGCTCCATTGGCAGACAGAGGCATCTTCGACTTTCCAGATTTCTTAGGCAGCAAGGTAGAATGGATATTGGGAAGGACGCCACCTTGCGAGATGGTCACACCAGAGAGGAGTACATTCAATTCTTCGTCGTTTCGGACTGCCAATTGGACGTGACGTGGCACGATACGGGATTTTTTATTGTCTCTTGCGGCATTGCCAGCTAATTCAAGAATCTCAGCGGTCAGATACTCGAGCACAGCCGCCAGGTAGATAGGTGCACCAGATCCTATACGAGCTGCGTAGTGTCCTACAAAAGGGAATGAAACCAAATTTAGATCATTTGTATAGAAAGGTATCAATTTCTCTAGCCACGTAATTCCATCACAAGGAATGGCAAGCAGACCCCCCTCCCCCCATGCAAATTTCGTGCCACCGCCTCTGCAAATGCATTACTGTATGTAAAGGGCCCTTTCAAAATTTCTCTGGCTTGCGAGATTACAGTAGAAATAAACATCCCTTCAGTCCCCCGATTTCAAATGGAGAAACCCCACAGAAAACGACTGACATGTGGCTCAGTTACGAAAGCGTCGACTACAATCCATCCCTAAAACTATACGCACATTATCAATGCTCTTTACCAGAAATTTAAAAACCTCTTCAAAATTCTTAAACCTACCTCAACATCGTTCAAAAAAGTAATTTTTTGTAAATGGTTAATGGAATTACTAGTACCTTTCCTAAGAAACCTGTGCAGTCTACCAACAGGAAACTGCAGACCAGCACGCTGACTTCTCGTCTGTGACTTTCCCGCCTTCTTTCCACCTTTTCCGCGTGCAGACATTGTGATTTGGTTTCAAAGTAGACACAGTACTCAAAATAGGCTATCAAGATTCTTGGTTAGCCCGCAAATATCGAGAAATCTGTCTAATGCATCCATTTTATACCCCAGTCTGTGCATCTCAGCTGTAATTGTGTCCCATTGACCAATGAGAACGAGCGGCACTCGGTATGTGACCAATAACAATCCCTGTTATATCTCTCAACACCACGTGTTACAGTAGTCAAGAATTGATGTCTGTACGTTATTGGTCAGAGAACAGGTGCAGCCAATGGTGCTGTTCATCGGAAAAGCTGCTCCAAGGGATTTTTGTTGAGGGCAGTTTTTTTTTTCTATTTATTGTAGGTTGTGGGAAATATCAGTACCCCCCAGTGGGCAGGGTAGATATCTAAAAAAAAATGCAACGACCGGGAAACTTTTTTTAGTGGGTAGGGTACTTAAAAAAAATATATGGCAGGGTGGACAAAACAGCCTTTAGGGCAGGGTATAATAAAAACGCATTGGGGGAAATAGCATCTGCTAAATGTGGGAAGCCGTGTGCTATCAATAACGGAAAATGCGAGTCACCCACTGAGCCGGTGCGGTGTTTTTTTATGAGGGGAGGGGAAAGATGAATTTGGTCAGCAAGAGGGCAAGAAAGGTAAGTTGGCGGTAGGGGAGTAGGCAAAAAAGTGTTTTTTTAATGAGGGGGGGGGGGAAAGATGAATTATGTCAGCAAGAGGGAAAGAAAGGTAAGTTGGCGGTAGGGGGGTAGGCAAAAAAGTGTTTTTTAATGAGGGGGGGGGAAAGGTGAATTTGGTCAGCAGAAGGGCAAGAAAGGTAAGTTGGCGGCAGGGGAGTAGGCAAAAAAGTGTTTTTTAATGAGGGGAGGGGAAAGGTGAATTTGGTCAGCAGAAGGGCAAGAAAGGTAAGTTGGCGGCAGGGGAGTAGGCAAAAAAGTGTTTTTTAATGAGGGGAGGGGAAAGATGAATTTGGTCAGCAGGAGGGGAAGACAATTTTTTTTTAGGTGGAGGGTAGCTTATGAACAGCTTTTAATTTCCCCCTCTTTCCTTTATATTAATCAGCATACTTCAAAAGGCCCATAAAATAACTATTGACTATTTCAATTTATTGCTCGTTGGCTGCACCTGAGAGAAGCATTTGCAATGCACCCCAAGTGTTATACTGTTCGTCTGTTTTGTCACAGTGTATGTGTGTTATGCAAATCCTTTCGTATAGATTGAAGGAAAATGGTGCAAATGACCTGTACAAATCGTACCTGATACGCGAAAACTAGTTCATGACACGTATATACGTATCTGTTGACCGACTTATTTAGCTGATTACTAGGGAATGGCTGTGTTATATCTGTCATCATTTAGGCTCATGCGAGGTCCTGGACGGAACTTGACTCAGTGATTTGTAACTAATTACGATATAACCGTCGCCATCCGGACCGCTATTTCTGACAGTTGGTATTTGCAGTTATTAATATAGTGAACGATTAATCAAAAGATATGACGTGTCCAGTACTTAGTGTGATTGGCTGTATGATTGAAGGCCACACCTTAGAGTCTTTAAACTTCTCTGTAATTGGTTAAGTTTTGATACGTAATAAACAGTCTAAGTCTTTGGTCACAGGGAGAGAGAGAGAGAGAGAGAGAGAGAAACTCCACGAGAGAGAGAGTCTTGGTTAGTTCTGGGCAGAGTCTCCGACGAGGCAGTCTGCCCCGAGGCGTTCTCGGTGTGGCTAAAGACCAACTATTGAAACGTATTTCGTGTGCGTCCATTTGACTGTAAAGCTTAAGTGACTTTCCCGGTTCTGTACCTCAAGCAGACGAGATATAAAGACAGGCGAGAATTTCCCTCTGACATACGTATCACAGAAAACTTCATGGAAATTGTTTGTTGGATCCAGGATGTTACTGCTCATACAAATGAGACAATTTTATTCTCCACCTCGATCACGCCAGAACAACTTCATTCTGAAAAAAAAGTTCTTTTTCCAGTAAAAAAACAAATAAACTCGCAAACGAGTATGTTGAAACCACAGGGAGCCCAGGAACTATGATCAACTGTACGCACTCCCTGTGAGCAGGGGGGGGGGGATCTGCTGGTATCTAGTGTAAGAAATAGACAAGGGATGAAGGCTCCAGCCAGCTCATATTTTTTAAACTCGAAACCAGTTGAGCATGGCTAACCCAGTCGTGACCTCAATGTGGTTCGTAACCAGTCTTGTGATTGGTTGTTGACAAATGCTGAACAGTCCACGCCTCCAACTGTGTTGTGCGTTCGGGCAAACCATTAGGAA